GGGGGGGGGGGGCGGCCCCTTCTTCGGGACGCAGAAGCGATCTGGCGACAGGTAAGTCGCCAGGATCGCTTCTGTTGTAAAGCCGACAGTCGGCTCTACAAGTTTAAACAGAGTCCCGGCGGCAAAAGTCGCCGGGAGTCTGTTTAAACAGCCCCGATGCTGGCGACGTACACTGTACGTCGTCAGTCACGAAGGGGTTAAGGTAAGTCCTTACACCAGCATGCAGCATGGGGCATGTAGTAGCCCCACTGCAAGGGTTAATACAAAGTTTTCCTGGAGTGCTTCTTTAAAGTAGATTTTCACAGCTGCTGTGTAGGGATTGCTAGAGACCTATGACACGAGAAAGGGAGCAATAAAGAGCTTACATCAGCCTCCATGCACAGGTATTCTTAGATGGGATTGCAGGAGGAATTGCTTTGATCACTTATGAATAAGTGTGCACTTTCATTACATGTATATGGTTTTGTGTGCTACTTGTCATCGTACATTGCACTTTTATTTCCCATGTCTGTTTTTCATAAATCGGTGAATACATAATCGTTTATAGTAACACACAGGGAGGTTTAGCAAAATGAAAAATAATTCTTTCACCAACCTTTTATAAATAGACTTTGTATACTTGGCTAACACTAAACTTTGTCTTTGTATTCCATAGAAAATATGGTACGAGGCTTAGATAAAGAGGAAACAGACTTTCTTGATGAAGTTTCCAGAAAACAGGAAATGTTGGAAAAGGAGAGGAGAGAAGAAGAAAAGAAAGAATTAAACGAGCTTCTAATATCCTTTAACTTTAAATTGAAGGTTTTTAAAATCTGCAATGTATATATTAGGGATGCACCAATGCCGGTACTAGTATCCGTGCCGGTACTGAGTATTTGGGCGACTACTCCAGTGGCGTGCAGTACCGTTGGTTCTAGGTGAGGCATTTCCCAGCCTCGCCCCCAGCATGCCCCATGCGGAAAAATGATATATGTATGAACTCGATTATCACAGAGGGAGCAATGAGCCACCCTTGTATGTGTTTTTAAGCACAAACACACAAGCTCCCCGCTTCTCCAAGCTAGTAGATGGAGAGCTGCTGGAGACTTTGTTGTCCCTCGTGATCTTGTACTCAACAGGAAGTACAAGGCTGCTGTTTGGAAACATGAAGACTGTAAGTACTTGGCCAAAAGAAATACTTTGCTGGGCAATATAGATCTGTTTGATCTGGATTCAATATTGAAAAAAAGTTTGAGATTTGGATGGAGTTGAGTTTTTTTTCACACGCCATCAAGGAGCATTATTTAACCTTAAAGCGACACAAAACCCTCAGCTTTTGTCTCCTTATACACGTATCTATACAATGAACATTCTCCAAATCCACATTTATTTATGTTTTAAAATAAAGTCTTACTATTTTAATCCCGTTAGAAATTCCGCTATGCTTGCTCCCGTGTCTCTTCTCTCCAGGCACACTTCCTGTCCCTTAGAAAGAGCCGTGCACGTTGATTCTGGTCACGTGCACATCTTTTTTTGCAGACAACTTCCATGAGCCATAGAAGAATCATATCTCACTGCACACAGCTGGGAACAGGGTTATTCACTAAAGGGAGAAGAAGTTGGAGAAGGCAGGAGAAGGGAACAATGTAGGACAACATCGCTGAACTGGAAAGTGAGCTGAATTGGAGAATTTTTCCAGATCAGCTATTTTGGCCTAAATTGTTCACTTCTCCTGCCTTCTCCAAACTCTTCACCCTTTTGTGAATAGCCCTGTAAATTTTCCCAGTGGGGTCACAGACAGGAATAAAACATGACTAGAAGTGTTTGCTTTTGCCAAGTCTGTTCAAAACAAAGAATGATGTTTAGGCAATATGTGGCCTTTAATTCGAGAGGCTTATGAGTATGCGCAATCTGTGGGGTGTGCGCATGTCTTTTCTGCAGTATCCTCATTTATCTTTACCTTGCAGTCTGACGGCTTTGTATCGGTGGAACTATAAGGATGATTACAGAGAGCACGCAAAAGGGAAACTTACATTCTTACTTCAAAACGTTTTCTTCTTAACCGATATTTCACAAAGACCGCACATTAGTAGCCACATCCGCAGAGCACAAGAAGAAGGAGCCTGAGAAGAAGGCTGTGACAAAACTGCCTAATAACAAGACGTTCTCTCAGTCCAAGTTGCTGGCAGGAGCAGTGCGACATAGAAGGTTGGGGCCAATGGCATAAAAAAAAATAATCTCTTAATTAATAGTGACACGGTCCTTCCTTCTGTAGGGTAGCTACTTTTGCTCCCGATGTCCCTGTGTGTGTTATAGCAAGCTCGATAAAGTCCATAAACCTATCGCACTCGAAACTGTTCCAAAATAATAAAATCGGCGGCTTGCAACCGTAATAATCACAAGTAGAAATATAGACACCGGCACTCCCAATAGCAAATCAAATACATCTATTTATTGACGTATGAGCAGCATAACGTGATACAGTCGATGGCATTGAGTGTATCGCGCTATGCTGCCTATATGTCCATAAATAGACGTATTTGATTTGCTATTGGAGTGCCAGTGTCTATATTTCTACTTATACCAAGCTCGTTCCCGTGATGGACTATAATCTCACATTTAATGTACTAATTTGTATTGGGATTGTAGTCCATCACGGGAGCAAGCTTGTAGCTGTGGCTACTTTACAACACACACACGGACAATGGCTGGAGACATTAATTAAAGACTCACCTTAACGCAACTCTATATTTATTAATAGATGATTGAATATATTTTGAATTTAAGTATTGTAAGTGACTGAATTTGACTCCACATATCAGCCTCTTGCTGTCACTGTACAGCAGATCTCCGATTGGGAGAGGGAGAAGCACCACTAGTAGTCGGTCAGTTGTGCTGCCATGCTCATGTGCTAAAAAGTGACATGCTGATAGGAGGAGAGAGAGCTGCTTAACAGAAAAGATAACCTCATGAGTGTGCTCCTTCTCCTTTCACTGTCCAATCACAAGCTGGGAAAGAGACAAGACCTGTAATTGTTACTTAACCACAACAGAGAATAATCTTGTCTTCTCCCCTGCCAGTCAGGGCTGTGCATCAGAGCTTTGTAAACTTCAGAACTGTATGGACATAATTAGCCAAAATGGACATTTAAATCCTTCTATATTTCAATAGTGTATTTAGCTGTTTGCTGGAGTTCTTTAAATGTCTCTAGTGATTGGTTGGACAGATTTTCTTTTCTTCCAGTGTCTCACATGTTTTGTCAAAAAACCTAAAAGAATAAGTGCAATTTTCTCAGCACTTCAACTCTTTGAAACAATGACAGGATTTACTCCAAACAGTACACAGCCCCTTTTAATGTGACCTGTAGGGGGCCAGCACAGAGTTTAGACCGGGGTCTTATATACATATATGTCCTGAAAGGCAATTTGGCAATTTTAATATTGCAGACATTATCTGCATTGCTACTCCAAACATTGCTAGCAGTGCATGACTATGGATGACTTGCTTCAGACCTGCAGACTTGCTTCAGATGACGTGGATGACTTGCTTCATACTTGCAGACTTGCTTCAGATGACGTGGATGACTTGCTTCATACTTGCAGACTTGCTTCAGATGACGTGCATGACTATGGATGACTTGCTTCATACTTGCAGACTTGCTTCAGATGACGTGCATGACTATGGATGACTTGCTTCAGACTTTGGACATTACCAGTTGGCCATGCAGAGTTGATCCATTGACGTTAACTACTTTTCTGTTTTGGTGGTCAGTTGCTGGAGGTTGTAGTCAAGGAATTGCACTGCTAATTTATGGGGAACAAGTGGCATCACTACTTCACGCCATGTTTTCTTTTATGTAACTGTGAGTGTTCTTGTTTACCACATATTGCTGAAGGCAGCATTCACTGTCCAAGGAGTGCTTTGCGTGTGTTGAGAGGGAGTAAAGAGAGGTCACAAAGGCCATAGTGGTGCATTCAGAGCCTCTTTCAGGCTGTACCTTTTTTATATCCTAACTAAATATAAAATTTCATTATATAACCATCTTTTATTTTGCATTTTTAGCAGTTCCGAAAGTCCTGGTGCAAAGAAACTGAAGCTTGATCAGGAACGTGACGGTATGTACCCGGGTATTGGATGCTGTGTTCTGCTCATAAATCAGGAATATTTCTCATATATCCACACAGACTAAAAATCTGTTCAAATTTCAGTTAAAGCTGTAACATAAACAATGTCTAGTAGAGATGTGCTGATTAAAGTTCTGCCAGCAAACCCAGAAATCTTTCAAAAAAATAGAATAGATTGGCTTTGTGTCCAGTGGCTGAAATATATACCTGTCTAGATTTACAAACTATACTAGATATTGGCTGATTTGAATGATTTGCCACAGTCAGGGGCGTAACTATAAATCACAGAGCCCCATAGCAAAATTTAGTTCGAAAAAAGAAAGGACCAACCTCCAAAACACGTTCCCGGTCACTGCTGCAGAGCCCACCAAAGGACACGGGGAGCCCTCCTGGGACCCCGCACAGCCCTCCTGAGATCCTGCAGAGCCCACTTGAGACCCCGCACAACCCACTTGAGACCCGGCACAGCTCACCGGACACCCCGCACATACCATAGACCCCACACAGCCCACCTGACACCTTGCAGAGCCCACCACGCATAGCCCACCTGAGATCCCATACAGCCCACCTGAGAGTCACCCTGCAGAGCCCACCATAGACTCGCTATGGTGGGCTCTGCAAGGTCTCAGGTGAGCTGGTCACACCCCTGCACACCTCTTACCTGGAGGAGGCTGATAGCCCCGATCTGCTGTCGACTTCCTCCACCGCCGGCACCGACCTCCTCCGCGGTCGCCGCTGGGCCCGGGCCCCGCCTCCTTCTCCACCGCAGCGGCTGTGAGGAAGTACGCACTGCTGCAGACAGCGGCGCGTTCCTCCTCACAGCTGCCAGTGACAGTCCTACAGCCTGTGATGCCTTAGCGACCCAGGCGGCCTGCAGGGCATCAGGGGGACCCCTTTGTTCTTGGTCGGGCCCCATAGCGGCCGCCTGGGTCGCTATGTCGATAGTTCCGCTACTGGCCACAGTTTACTCATACAGATTTTTTAGACGGAACTAGGAGGATCTCTTCTATGCCCTAAGATTTGTTATTGGATTGTAAATCGGCTCACTTCCCTTTTGTGATTTATTAAAAGTGTATCTGTACACAAACTCTTTGGTTTTTGGATAGAGTAGGGACGGTTCAAGCTGTTGTCGCGTTTTCCTTCCAAGTCCCTGCTAGCGAGGTTCTCCATTGTCACTGGGACAGAAAGTGATGCAAAATATAATGGTTGTCTGCAGAGGAGGAGATGAAGAGAAACATTCTAATGGGCACACTTCTTTTGGTGACAACTCTTTAAGCTGGAATTTCCTCTCCCTTTAGAGAGATTTCCTTTCACTTCCTGTTGTTTCTCAGGGACGGGGCGTGAAGGGAAATCTTCAGAATGGGAGACAGATGATAAAATAAAAAACTACAAGTCTTTTAACGAGAGATGTGTCAATACCATTTTTTCCAGACAGTACCGATACTTTTCCTCAAGTACTCGCCGATACCAATTAACGATAACTTTTTTTTCTTTTTTTTTTTAAATTCATGTGACAGTTTTTCCAAAACAATACAGACTAATGATTTTAGGACAGATGTGCAGTACCAGGGTCTGATCCCAGCTGCAAAGAGCTTGGAGTCAGCTCTACCACTGACTCCAAGCTGTAGAGGGACTACAAATCTCAGCAATACATTATACAGCAATGCCAAATAATACCATCAGCTAGAGAGGACTACAAATCCCAGCGATACATTATACAGCAATTCTGAATTCCAACCAGCTATAGAGGACCACATATCCCAGCATTGCATTATACATTAATGCAGAATAATATGAAGCTACATACTCTGTGCTGCTCCAGGGTGCCGGCCCGATGTCTTCAGCAGAGGATCTCAGGAGGGTTGTGCGGGGTCTTAGGTGGTTGTGCGGGGGTCTCAGGAGGAAAGTGCTGGGTCTATGGTGGGTTGTTGGGGCTCTCTGATGTGCTGTGCGGAGTCTATGCTTTGCTGTGCGGGCTCTTTGCTGGGCTGTGCGGTCTCACCGGTCGGTCTCATGGGCTTGTGCGAGCGGCATGGAGGAGGAGAAGATTTGCAGCACAGGAGGAGGGCTCCGCCACCATTCACAGGAGGGCCGCCAGGACCTTGCTGGGGACCTCGACAGCTTTTTACAGCGCCGGCTTCAGTTTGAAGCGGCAGTATTGTGAAAATGCCCAGTATCAACACCGATATCGTTATCGATGCTTCCCTAGTTTTAACCAATCCCTACTCTATTTATACTAGTTTGGCTACAAATACTCGAGTTGCTTTCCTTACGGAGCTTACTTCTCAGCATAGTATGACCTAATGTGTTTTAAGAGCATGGCCACCAGCATTTGTTTATCAGCTGGTCAAAAGTGACATGACCCCCCACAACAAAACTGTGTGTCTGAAAAGATCCGAGTTTATTCATTGATTCCACACAAGCTGCACAGTGGCCATTAGTCAGACATTTTTAGGGTATGATGTTCACATTAAAGATTGCTGGACTAGAAATCTCTCTCATGACAAATTCCCTTACCCACGTAGGAGTGACGCATTTCTTTAGCAGCTACGTCAACACTGTATGGGGACTTGTTCAGTAAAGTTGTGGGAAGAATAACATTGATGTACAGTAATTAAAATCCATTATAAAACATGAAGTCAGATTAGTTCTTGTGGGTTACTGCAGTTCAGTACATTGCGATCTGCCTGTTTTGACAAAGGCCTTCCTGCGTAGGAGAGAAGAGGTGGCTGCTAATGGATTTCATGTCAGCAAACCTGCCACAGGATTTCTTATCGGTGCCAGACTTCTTAACCTCCTCACAAGTAGAATGGTTGAAGTTAGACAATGCTAATAGTATGGGAAATAGTTTTATATTGTTACTGTGAATACATTCATCTGAGCTGGATTTATTTATATTGTATATGTTCTAAAAAATAAAAGCAATACAAGTTGACTTCAGCTTTACATATTACTCCCTATTACTATAACTGACAGAGAGTACACAGAAATATGTTTCTGATATTCATTACCTCTGAAATGGTCAATTAGCTCTATGGTACTTTAAATTGACCCTTTCCAGGCAGCAAATCATGACTGCAGTGACTGGTAAACACTCACACAATACACTTTGGGGTGTATTTATTAACAAGCTCTTTGCCCTGCAAATATCTGAGACTGTTCAAACATTATCTATCTTTTGAAGGAAAATGTAGTGTGTGTGTGTGTGTGTGTGTGTGTGTGTGTGTGTGTGTGTGTGTGTATATATCTGTACTATATTGCCAAAGTTATTGGGACACCCTCCAAATCATTGGATTCAGGTGTTGCGTGAGATTTCCTTGCTACTAAATATTCCACGGTCAACTGTTAGTGGTATTATAACAAAGTGGAAGCAACTGGGAACAACAGCAACTCAGCCAATAAGTGGTAGGCCACGTAAAATGACAGAGCGGGGTCAATGTATGGTGAAGCGCACAGTGTGCAGAAGTCGCCAACCGTCTGCAGAGTCAATAGCTAAAGATCTCCAAACTTCGTGTGGCCTTCAGATTGGCACAACAACAGTGCGTAGAGAGCTTCATGGAATGGGTTTCCATGGCCGAGCAGCTGCATCCAAGCCTTATATCACCAAGTGCAATGCAAAGCATCGGATGCAGTGGTGTAAAGCATGCCGCCACTGGACTCTAGAGAAGTGGAGACGTGTTCTCTGGAGTGACAAGTCACACTTCTCTGTCTGGCAATCCGATGGACATGTCTGGGTTTGGCGGTTGCCAGGAGAACGGTACTTGTCTGACTGCATTGTGCCAAGTGTACAGTTTGGTGGAGGGGGGATTATGGTGTGGGGTTGTCTCTTTGGGATTGGGCTTGGCCCCTTAGTTCCAGTGAAGGGAACTCCTAAGGCATCAGCACACCAAGACATTTTGGACAATTTCATACTCCCAACTTTGTGAGAACAGTTTGGGGATGGCCCCTTCGTGTTCCAACATGGTTGGAAAGACATGGATGAGCGAGTTTGGGGTGGAGGAACTTGACTGGCCTGCACAAAGTCCTGACCTCAACCCGATGGAACACCTTTTGGGATGAATTAGAGCGGAGACTGTAAGCCAGGCCTTCTCGTCCAACATCAGTACCTGACTTCACAAATGGTCAAACATTTCCATAGGCACACTCCTAAACCTTGTGGATGCCTTCCCAGAAGAGTTGAAGCTGTTATAGCTGCAAAGGGCGGGCCAATTCAATATTGAACCCTACGGACTAAGACTGGGATGCCATTAAAGTTCATGTGCATGTAAAGGCAGGCGTCCCAATACTTTTGGCAATATAGTGTGTGTATGTATATGTACGTGTGTATATATTACACACACAGTAAAAGAACAGAACGTTTGTTCCATTATTCGCACAAGATTAACATTCTCAGATATTCACAGGACAAAGGGTCCTACAGGTTGTTTATAAATGGGCCCCTTTGTGTCCAGTTCTGAGATGTAGATATGGTGGCCTGGCGAAGGGAGTCAGCCTCTAGTGCAGTTGGTTCAAGCCAATAAATAGAAATGCAAGCGTAGGTGGTAGCATATTGTCTGGTTTTCAGCCAGAGATTTATGTGCTGTTGAGCCAAATACCTTTGGATTGGCTGGATAGAAGAATACATAATATTCATATGCAATATTTTATCATTATTTTGCTTAAAAAAAAAGACCATGAACTGTATTTTTTAGCCTTGACCATGATAAAGAAAATATGCACAACACATATTCACTTCCTTTACCAATCTTCTTTCTCGGCCGTATCTTACACTAGCTGCTATTTTGTGTCTTCTTCCTTTTTTCAGAGAGTCATTCCAGCTCCGTTGAAAGCAGCACTAACCCAGGCTCCCGACTGCACTGCCCTCCAGCCACCGTCTGCATTGGAATCTTACCTGGCCTTGGAGCCTACTCAGGAAGCAGCGATTCAGAGTCCAGCTCAGACTGCGAGGCCACAATAAACAGCATGGGAAAGATTGTGTCCTCTGTATTCCGCTCAGGCACTTTCCTTGAACCCCTTTAAACCCTACCAACCAATCACAAAACAGTTTGTCAAACCTGAGAATGGAACGTTTTACTTCTAGACCATGGACAAAACCTCTGTACATAAACTGCAAAGTGTATTTTCCTTTCACTGATGTCAGCAGCTACCTTTTCTGTGCAGTGTGTTTTCAAGCTTGGGAGCTTATTAAAAGAAACTCAATAAACCATGTTTTGTGTGTTCATATCAACATGAGAACAAAACATATATTCCCATCCCTGTACTGAAATTACCATGATCATTCAAATGCTTGATTTGCCTTTTATGTGCTTTTTTTTTTTTTTTTTGCTCACCAAAATTGCTTGAAATGGTGATGGAATTTTTTTACCATCTTTTTCAAAATACTCAATTGAATGTTTGTTTATTGGTTAAAGCAGAACTGAAGCCAAAACTTTTTTTTGGCCCTCTGTGTCCTATTGGGGAGATTTTCCTTCACGTTCTGCCCAATAGTTACAACAAGAAGGGAGAAGAAATGCCTCCAAAGTGAGAGAAATGGGGAGTCAGCGGGGTCACCAGATCTGGTGTCCCCATTTGAAGACTTCCCAACTATTCCTGTTCTGATGACATCCCAAAATGTCATATTTTCTTTTACTTTTAGTGATAACGGTCACCGGGACAGATAGAAGGTGATACAGACACCAATAAAAACCTGACAGGTGTTCTGATCCCTCTCCACTATATCCAAAACTTTAGAAAAAAGTTCTGCCTTCCGTTGTACTTTAATCTTATGTCATCTCTGTGCCTTCTCTGTAATAAGACTGACTAAAGAGCTGTGGTGTGCAGTAGCGCACATCAATCCTGATTCAGCGTATTATGGCCAGAACACTGGGAATCGGTTCCTTTTCCTGTGCATGTTGCTGATTGCCTTACTGGAGCTCAATTGTAGTCTTTTATTTATTTTTTTAAGTTTGGCTAGATTGGGGAAGAATAAGAAACTTGGTCAGATTTTTACTGGAGTCTGTTTTCCCTGGAGAGAGATTTATCATCAGTTTCTGTCCTGGTAATATCGCCAATAAATCTATCTAATTAGGACACTGGCAGCGAGAAAAACAGTGAGTCTTCCTCTTCCAGTGACACTTGTGCCCCTCATTTCCTTTCCTGGTTCCAAAGGGATACAACAAGGCATAATCTCCCCAGTGGAGTCACATACAGGAATCATAACCTAAAATAAGTTCTAACTGTTAGGCCTCATTCACACCGATAAGAGCCGGCCCGAACATCCGTGCGGCGTGCATGGCCGTTGCGGAAAGGACAGGTGCTGCATGTGATTGTACGCAGCAGCCTGTTCTCTTTGGGAGTACTCCGCCGTACGCTCATCCGAGCTGCTGTATGGACACCCACATGGATATGCAGCTTGGGTGAGGGCCGCGTACTTCAAAGAGAAGAGCAGGCTGCTGCGTACTATCACACGCAGCAGCACCACCCTTCCCGGGGACGGCCGGGCACGTCGCACGGATCTGTACGGGCCGACACTTCTGTCCCAAAGTAGAAGAAAACAGTATAGATTGAAGTTGCTCTTTAAAGAGAAACTTTACCCATATCTTTAAAATTACAACAAATACATCTTTAGAAATACAGGTAGCCTTCAATATATGCTGGGGTTAGGTTCCTGAGGGAATGTTTGTAAATAGAAACTGTTGTAAATTGAAACCCAGTATATAATGTAAGTTAATGAGAAACGAGGGAGTTATGTTCCAGACCTTGCTCAAAATTGACATCAGTAATAAAATACAGGTGCTCATGCAGCACCAATACATGTGCTGCATGAGCACACAAGGAGCTTTACATAAAATGTACCTGTATTATTTACTGGGTTTCAGTTTACACCAGTTTCTATTTTGAACCATTCCTTGTTTTGAGAGAAGCCTGGAACCTAACTTCCTCACTTCCCATTGACGCACATATATTTGGTTTCAATTTACAACACTCCCAGAAAAGGGGGCTATTTTGAATCTGCAAATTAAACCGTTGTAAACCGAGGGCCACCTGTATTTAGTCATTGCAATCTGCAAACAGATACGAATAGATAATTGCCGGCTTTTTATTCTTTACATACATTATTGTTTGTCTTTTCTTCTCCATTCTCTTCACTGTGGCCATACTTAGTAAGGGCAGATGAATCTTATGAAACCATGCACATCATCTCAGGGGAGGAAAATTCCTTTCCCTGAGATCTAGTGAGATTACAGATGAGATCTCACGGCAATGCTCTGTTGATGTAATCTTCCCAGGATGCATCACTTGGACCTGGGCTACATCTTTAATGCCCAAGAGGACCAGGAAGTGGAAAACAGTCATTGTAAGTAAAATAAAAATATGTTTATTGAATGAACCAGTGTAGGATGATTTCATAACGGCATGCAGAGCTGAATGCTGATGTGATATTTAATGAAAGGGGGTAGAAGTTCACTTTAAATTAAACTCGGGGATTGTTGTTACAGTAAAAAACAGTAGCAAAATGTATTCCAGAATATAAACATGTTAAAGAGCAGTCTAACAGACAGTGTAGCTCAATATGTTGAACCCTTTCCAACAACACTTTCGTACCTATTTGTATAAAGAACCTAGTACTCCCTTTTGTTGACATTTAGGCCTGGTTCACACCTGGGCGTTTTACAGTGCGTTCCTACACGCTGTAAAACGCTCAACATGTGAAAACCAATGATTGCCTATGGGCATGGTTCCCACCTGGGTGTTTTACAGTGCGTAGGAACGCGCTGCAAAACGCCCTACGCCCAAAGAAGTACAGGAGCTTCTTTGGGGCGTATTTCAGCGCGTTTCCATTGGTATTCCCGAGTGTGGATCGGGGTTAACAAAACGGTAACCCCGAGCCACACTCGGGAATACAGACTACTTTTGTTCCCCTTGGTCCCTGTGTGTGTTGTGAACTAGTCACCACTCCAAGCTCACTGCTGTGATGGGCTACAATCTCAATACAAATTAGCAAACAACATGTGAGATTGTAGTCCATCACAGTAGGGAGCTTGGAGCGGTGACTACAACACACACAAGGACCATGGGGAACAAAAGTAGCCACCCTCCAGAAGGAAGGACGGTGTCAGCACCAATTCAGAGATGATTTGAGGATCTACAGCCGAGTGATACACAAATAAGATACATTTTTGTTAATGATTAAGGTACTTTAATGCATTTTTAAGATTTAACTCCTGAGTTTAGTGTCACTTTAAGTGCACATTGTGAAGCAGCTGCTGCTGCTCTGTTTCTCTCATCTGGGGTTCTGGGGAATTTGTTGCATGTTGCAATTATTTATAAAGATAGTGTAGGATTGCAGCTTGCAAATTATAGGTGTATCAGAAAAGCTAGGAGCTCTATAATGTCCCCATGGATGGACTAAGTTCTGCAAGCTGTTGAGCTTCCTCAAAGCGTGTGAATGTCAACTGTCTTTGGCTTCACAAAATCTAGCTAGATGTAAACCTCTGTTTCATGCATTGTAAATGGGGGTAGAGATCTCCCATGTGTAGAGAGATATCTGTCTGTCTTTGAGCAAGTTAATGGATCACTAATACCCACTCATCCAACACATTGTATGTTGCATTGTTCTATAGAAGATTGGATCCCTTTCACATGGTCAGATTGGAAAATCTCCTTTGTAATAATAAGGACCTTTGACTGTTTGAGTTGCTTGGTATTGCTCACTATAGCTCTGAAACAGCCCTAAAAATAGCAAACGATGATTGAGCAGTCAATGGACAGCTTTAGCAATTATTGTACATGGCAGGCTGGTTAGAAATGATAGTAAATCGTGCCTATTCATGTTCAGTATACCATACATGTAAATAATGTATGGTTTTTACTAGGGATGCACCGATGCCTATTCCTATACCCGAACTTCTGGTATCAGGAAGCCGGGCGGCGTCCCAGCCAATCAGGAAGCCGGGCAGCGCGTAATGACTGGCTGCCGTTCTTCCTGATTGGATGCAAATTTGGCCAATCAGGAAGCTGGGTGGCGAGTCATTACCCGCTCCCTCGGCTTCCTGATTGTCCAGAAAGCCGGCTCCATGCTTCCTCCTCTCCTAGTGATGAGGGAGTATGGAGCCAGCTACTGGGCTAATCAGGAAGCCGGGGGGCCGGTAATGACTCGCTGCCCATCTTCCCGGCTAATGAGGAAGCTGCACTCCTTACAGTAACTCCGTACAGAGTCATTACACGCCACCCGTCTTCTTTAATGGGATTTTCGGTATCGGTATTCAGTAACGGCGAGTACTGAGAAAAAAATATCGGTACTCGATACTATATATATCGTAAGTGTTCAATGCCTTGTTTCTTCCTTAGTAAAGCACAAAAGCCCCGGCCTGACAGCAATCTGCTCTAGTAAATAAACACACAGTGACCCAGTGCTGCTCAACTTTAATATACAGTATCTGTCTAGGGATTTAAAGATTTCTTTTCAATTAACGCTCTGTATACCAGGTGCTGTATACCAGGTGATGCACCCTTCAGAAAACAAAGTATAAGTAGAAAAAAAAGATGATGTTAAAAACAGGAAGCAATACCGAAACTCTTACCAGACAAAATATATTTTTTCAAAGCTGCTACACAGTGCCGGTGGAAATTAACATATTTTTTATTTCTATTTGTAGCAATCCTTCCCTTTAATTGGCGTGTTTTCGCATTATTGCTCTACAGCTAGCATACTAAATTTTGTGTACCGTTTTGGAGATTTCACTTCCTCTTCCAAAGACGAATCAGGAAGTGAATGGAAATCTCTCCAAAGTAAAGGGAAATCCTCTCTTAAGCTGCCCATACACCTTACGAATATCGGCCGATTTTCATTTGCGATCGTGTTTTCGTCCGATATTCGTACGGTTGATGGGGAGTCTACATCCGCAAATACTGTACAATCGTACGACGTTCGTCTTTCCAGCAGGCTAGAAAACTTTGGTCGATCGTATGATTTTCGCAAGGTTGGTGGCGTATCCGTACGTCAAAATTCTTACAATTAACACTGCTGATGCGCAGACGAAAATACGTGCGGACGATTAACGCAATTCGTCCAGGTGTTTTTTTTTAACTACCACTTATTGAACCTTGTGATGATCAGGGCAGGATGGGGCCGCCATATGCAAATCGTACGACGGGTCGATCATCGGACAAAAAGTTTTGTCCGATGATCGCAAGGTGTATGGGCACCTTTAGATTTGTTCCTGGAAAAGGTGTCCCAATACCTTTTGGATTTCCCATCGCTTTATGTGCTGGTGACAAAGGACAAATAGAGAGGCAATAAAAAAAATAATACAAACACCCCATACTGCACTTACTTACTTTTTAGTGACTATAATGGTGGGTGCTTGTGCCATATAAATCTAGCACAGTTGTGCCATATAAATCATAGCAAAAAAAAAACAGAGACACCCTCTGGGGATGGTTTAAAAAACTTCCACCCAGCCATAAGCTGGGTGAATGCCAATTGCACAGCATTCCTGCCAATCAATGGTGCTGAGGAGTAAAGGAAATTCTTATGCTCTTCAGCTCCATCTATTGGTGGGTATATCATGTGAGCGGCATTCGCCCAGCGTATGGCTTGGAGTGAGTTTTATAAATCATCCCCTTTAAGATAAGACTATATATTTCATTTTCATTTTTCTGATGGAAATGCAAAGAAATCGTAGCCTCTGAGTCAACACAAAAGCAGCAGCCTTTGTTCCCTGATTAACATGAGGTTATATACAGTACATCCTGAGCAGGTCACATGTCAAAGGTTGACCATACACAAGTAAATGTCTACAAAAGTGATCAATATTCACATGGATCCTAATTTTATTTTGACATGACATCCAAATATATTGCCAAATATTTATAGACAAAGTCAGGCCCATAAGGCTGTAGAAAGAAAACGGTTCTACATACCGTGCATCAAACAAAACATTGTCCCCCTGAAAATCAAGAAATCAGTCTGAACTAATGCTCTGTCCTTGGCAATATGAAATCCTCCGATAGATCTCTTTGCTGTGTCTCAGACTTCATAAACTGATAACGAAATGTATTCATTGCATCCTTGCACACACCCTGTATTTGCCTGACTATCTGAAATGGTAGCACAGACCTCCAAGCTTGGGAGACATTTAATGCATCCCGCGGGGTGATCTCAAAGGCTTCATTTCTTTTAGGTGGTCCTTGGCCATGTGTAATGTTGTGGATCCAGTCACCTAACTTGTCAGTCATTCCTAAGTTTGCAAACTTATACATCTCTTGTACTTCTCTTAGAGGATCTCGTACCAAGTCCTCATATCTAACCATCATATATCTCCCTTTCAGAAATTCAGGGGGGTCATCGATAGCCATTTTGTACATGTTAGCATGACTTTGACAGATTTTACGTAATACAAGGAACCTGGCATCACTGTTTTTTGTTCCTTTCGTGTTAAGGACAATTCCATTGTCAACAGCTAGTGATGTAAGGGTTTGCCTGCGGGACTTGGCAACAGCTCGAGGGTCACGAACCAAATGGAGAATCTTCAGGTTCAAGGAAGGGTCCTTCAGAAGAGGATAGAGGACTCTGAGGTTAAAAAAACGAACCTCCTTTACAACAATGTGACTATACCTGCTGCATGCTTCTTCTGCTTTACCAATTGAAACATTTCGGCAGAGTTGTCTACATGCTGTTACATTGACCATTTCATCATGAGAAAAATAATCGCATGCTGGGGGTGCACACAAGGCTCTGCTGCTGTACCACAGAAAAAGGTCAGAAACTTTCATATTACTGTTCGCATAGGCATCAAACACAGACATGTCACATTTGAAGACTGATCGGACTAAGTCTCTCACGGCCATGTGAAGAACATCTCCACTGGAGTAAGACATAGTCTTCCATACGTGCCAAGCTGGCTCCATCAAGTAGAAAACATTGGGGTGCTGGCTAAAGAGCTGACCGACCAGAGATGAACCTGACCTCCAGGTGGAAAGAATCAGCAGATGGACTTTCTCCTTTTCTCGTGTTTTCTTTACTTTTTGCAGATGTAGTAACAATAATAGTATATGAACACAAATCAGCACAGCCAGCACACAGCTTATAATCCTTACTCTGACCATGATGTCTGACGTACAGTCCACTGTTAAATTAAAGGAAAGGGAATCAGCATCTAGTTTTTGACCATAGAACATTAATCTTTGTCTCTATTCGCATAGAACACTTCCCGTTAACGGAGATCTGCAGGGTGAATGGCTCTACGAATTGTTTATAAATGAACCCCTAACTCTAGCCAGTCATGGAATATTCTTTGCTTATCATGTTATTCCTAAGGCCTCATTTAAACTGTTGCCCGTTTAGATGCGGCTGCTGTCGCTCGGTCAAGTTAATGACCGGGTAACAGCGGCCGCATCTGTACGTAGCAGTGTGCATGTAATTGTATGTGATACGTTTACATGTGGTTTGGAATAAATGGACTGCACTTACAGATGCGGCCACTGTCACCCAGTCATTGAGCGGGTGACAGTGACTGCATCTAAATGGGCGATTTAGTATTCTTGTCGCAGGAATCCCAAAACGCACACTGTGGATGTAGCCTTGGGGTCTTAAAGGTACAGCAACAAGTTCCAGAAAATCCCCAATGGAAAATGAAGGCCTCTTGTATGTGTAGCAAACACTACAAATGCATGATCAATTCACTGTAATCTCAATGTTTCCTCCCTGAGAAACTCAGACAGAAGAGGTTGATAGAGAGATGGGTGCCAATATTACAGAGAGACCATTGATAACAGTAGTAGCCTCCATGTTTCTTTAAGCAGCAGATTTCTTTAACAGCAATACAATACATTGTTCTTGGAAATTCTCAGTGGAAATCCATTTAAGAACGTGCAGTTTCAAAGAGTAACAATTGCAGCTTGTTTAGTGTCAATGCCTAGTGTAAGCTGTGAATAAAAGTGTGAATGTGGTATAGGCTTGTGTTTAGTGAATCCCTGCTGTAACACTTCTAATTCAGCACTGTGCCTGTTCCAATGAATAAATAAAAGCCACTCACCTAGGTGAACTCCACTGGCTGCAGATTTCATTGAAGTGTACAGCCCCAGCTTGCCAGCTACAATTACAATGACACTTCTTCGCTCCTCCTGTCTAATAATTGCCAGTTGTGACCCAGCAGCATGCTGGTATCTTTAAATAAATGCATATAGAAAGTGCTGAGACTAGGGAGATAAATAAAAACAGCATCTCCTTTCCTCAACCACGCATGTGATTGAGTAATGGCTGAATGCACTAAAAACAACACGCCAAGCTCCTCGCGGCTACATTAGATTGGTAACAATTATTTCACAAACAAACTCAAAAGTTGCCAAAAATAGCTAGACTTTGTATATTTTGTTAAAAGCATAGTCCACCTTTCGTACCATATTTTGTGTTACAACCATATTTAGGGTGTAACAATAAACATGGTCACATGACCCAGCCCCACCACCCTTAAACCCCACCACTACCCCTTACCTGAATCATGGGGTTTACTCCCCGGAGTGTCCTGTGTATATTTGAATTTGGCTTGACTTCATCATCAATTCACAGATCCATTCACAGGGTGAATTCAAAGTCCTGCCTGTCACCACCATAGTCCATTGATTTCTTGCTCCATCCCCATAATGGAGTTTGCAGGAGCCTGTGCATTGCACCCATGAGTCCCTGATCGCTTTTGCAATAGGGCTGCAACAACTAATCGACATAATCGATTATTGAAAAAATTGTCAACTTTTTCAATCATCGATTAATCAGCTGTTCAGATTGGCTGTTCATGGCTCCACACACGCTGTGCGCCACACCTCCTCCCCACCTCACGCTCGCCGCTGCCAGACCCGCCCGCATCCACACTCCACACGCCGCACCTCCTCCCCGCCTCACACTCAATGTATGGGCTTTGTTGTACTCCTATATATCTGGTGGTATTCTGCATTTCGCTGTATAATGTACTATTGCTGGGATTTGTTGTGCTCCTCTATATCTGGTGGTATTCTGCATTTCGCTGTATAATGTACTATTGCTGGGATTTGTTGTGCTCCTCTATATCTGGTGGTATTCTGCATTTCGCTGTATAATGTACTATTGCTGGGATTTGTTGTGCTCCTCTATATCTGGTGGTATTCTAAATTGTGCTGTATAATGTACTATTGCTGGGTTTTGGAGTCCTCTGTAGCCGGTACTATTCTGCATTCATTGCTGTATAATTTTACACTTTTTATTTCACTATATTGCACACCACACATTTTTTTTTTCTTTTTTATTTACACTGCTCCAAGCTTGCTCCTGTGATGTACTGCAATCTCAATACAAACTAGTAGTCCATCACTGGAGCAATGTTTTCAAATGTATTTTATTTTTGTATCCGATTAATCGAACTTAGTAATCGGCTAACTAATCGATTTTGAAAGTAATCGTTAACTGCAGCTCTAATTTGCAATGCTCTGCAGACTCCAATGCAAAAAAAAAATCATAAATGCCCATTTATTTCTCATGAGGACGATTTAGACATCCAAAATATATTTTTTTAAATACTATGCAACTGAGAAAGCCTGAGGTTCCTTATATATATATCTTCTTGGAAAATGCCTTTAAGCTGTACATGATATTTCAGAACAGTGCAATTTTCATGGACAGTGTCAGTATTCTGGCAACACATATTCATGTGTACTTGATTATTGAACTTAGCTTGGATTAAATACAGAAGCAGCACTCCAACCTGATAAAAGGAGAACTATGGGGTTAGGGATTTTCCCCATAGTTCTCCTAAGGATCACGGGAGAACACAAACTAGCGTCCTCTCGTGACCCAAAGTTCAGTATACCGCGAGCTACAGCTCGCGGTATACTGAGACGCCGCAGCCGGGACGGATCCCGACATTGCTGTTGAGATCCACCCAGCTGCGGGATTGACAGTTGGCTCTGCTTATCCAGAGGCAGAGCCAGCTGTGCCCGCCCCCTTCCCCGTCCATTTCGCCAGTCAGCGCTGGAGGATCAGACAGGGGAGAGGGGAATCCCTGTAGGGAGCCGTGAGTGACAGTCACGGCTCTCTGCAGGGATAGATCGAGAAGTGAACGAGCGACGGTATGTGTTCGCTCACTTCCCGATCTACTGAGCCGACCTGTGACGGTTTCATTGTCACAGGTCGACTCAGATTATGAGGCTGAGTGAAAATCATTCGCCTCATAATTCTCCTTTAACTTTAACTTGAAAATTGGCTTTTTTAAGTAGCTTTGGCTGAAGCACCTGATTTCTTTTCAATCAGGCATTAATAGGCCTGAATTGGCTGGTAGACATAGCAGTCAGAACTGATCTAAAAGATAAAGGAGACTTTCTGCTTAAAAAAATAAGCTAAAGCCCTCAGCTTTGTACAGACTAGCCACTGGCAAAACAGTTTAATAGTATACAGTAGTTTGTGTGTTTCTTTTTCTATTGTCCTACATTGCATTGTCTTAAAAGTTTGATTAAGGGGGGGCGTGGCGAGCCGCTGAGTAAGATGGCCGCGGTCTGAAGAGGCTCCGCAACACCCGGTCCCCCGAGAGCATCGTTCAGCTATCATTAGCAGTTTGAGTGACACCGGGACACTGATGATCAGTCCCCGATCCTCGGCACCCCCAGTGGCGGCGATATGCGGCAGAGCAGGAGGCAGAAAGACGCACGAAAGTCGCAGCCCCAGCAACGAGGTACACCCAAGATGGCGGCCGCCCGAACAGCACCAGGGCTGGCTGCCTTGAGGCACCTTCTACTAGACGAGCAGGACTCGCCCTCCCTGGATAGCCTGCCCATGACCCAGGGTGACGACCAAGTGGATCCTAGAGATGCAGCACTGTTGGAGAAGTTTCAAGCTATGCTGCACACTGAACTGACGGCAGTCTCTGACAAGCTAAATGAGACACTGACCAGAGAGCTCAGGGATCTTGGGGGCACGTACAGATCAGCTGGAGAAGAAGGTAGATGATGTTATTGAGGTGATGGAATCTCATGAGCACGATCTGGACACTGTTAATACTGACCTCATTGCCCTGATGGACAAGGTGGAGGATATGGAGAACAGAGCCAGGCGCGGGAACCTCCGCTTTCACGGCCTACCTGAAACCATAGAGGACCCGCAATCCACAATCACGGCCCTACTGCAAGAACTTATACCCTTGATGCCAGTAGAGAGACTGGAGTTCGATCGTATACACAGAGCACTTGCCGCAAAACGCCCAGAGGGCCCACCAAGGGACATAATCGTTAAATTTACCTTCTACCGTTCTAAGGAGGCGGTGATGCAGGCAACAAGGGGCCGGAGGGAACTCGCCTTCCAAGGGCACAAGTTCCAGATTTTTGCTGACCTCTCTCCCACGACAATTCAACGTCGCCGTGCCAGAGGGCAAAAGCGGATGCCTTATTCAAAGATCTCTCCTTTCCCACTGTTCCCCCAGCAGCTCTTGACCGGCTACATTCACCTATCTTGGAAGAGGAGGTGGTAGCCTCCATTAAGTGCCTTAAAACGTCCAAAGCCCCCGCCCAGATGGCTTTTCCTCCCTTTATTATAAAAAATTAGCGCCCATCCTAGCCCCTAACTTAACTGCCATGTATAACGCACTCCGAATGGGAGACTCAGTACACCCATCTGCCTTATTGGCCTACATTTCAATCGTCCCTAAGCCAGATAAGGACCATTTAGACACAAACAATTATCGTCCCATATCCCTTCTAAACGTTGATGTAAAAATACTCACGAAAATCCTAACTGTTCGCATTAACTCCTTTCTACCGCAGATAATCCACAGGGACCAGGTGGGGTTCATCCCAGCAAGGCAAGCGGGTGACAATATCAGAAAAATGTGTCCCTAGATATACAACGGGCGTTCGACTCTATCTCCTGGGACCACCTATGCTATATAATGGGACGCTGGGGCTTTGAAGGCCCCTTCTTAACATGGCTACAAGCTCTCTATGCTAGCCCTACAGCAAAGATTAAATATTTGGGACGGGTCTCAGATACCATTGCAATCCGGAGGGGTACCCGCCAAGGCTGTCCCCTCTCCCCAGTCCTTTTCGCCATAGCCATCAAACCTCTGATACACCTGATCAGATCTAATCCT